ATGTCTAGGAATATTCAGGAATGGATAAGAAGGAGAAGAGAAGGTTTTAGATGGTAGAAAGGGAGCAAATCAACTGAGGCCCTAAAGGGGTATAGAAAGGGTTACTTAAGAAAACAATTGGGAGGGCAAAGAGGTAGCAGGAGAAAACATTGATACTAATAAGTGAGAATCCCAAGATATTCCATAAGTATATTAAGGGAAAGAAGATAACTAAGAAAAGAGTAGGATCTAAACAAAAACAGAAATTGCTGGAGAAACAGGTCTGGCAACCTTTGTGGAGAGAAAGTAAAGTTAAATTCCAGTCAAGCAACTCTATCATAACATGTCCTGATGGTCAGAACAGATGCTGCCAGGCCTGTGGGTATTGGTAGGGTGCTCACCTCCATCTTCAATCGGATAAAAGAGGATGTAGGTACAGAATTCTGGAGAGGGGTAGTGATTTTCTTGAACAGTTTGACATAGCACATGAAGAGGTAGTGGAAGTTTTGGCAGGATTATTCATCAGTCTAATAAATCTGACAAAATGTTTAAATTCCTCTTGGACCGCAGAGATGTGTCAGAGAACAAGACAGTAGCTAATATTGTTCCACTTTTCTCGAAGGGTGCTAGGGATAAACCAGGGAATTACAGACCAGTGAGCCTCACATCAGTGATAGGAAAATTGTTGGAGAAAATTCTTAAAGGAGAAAATTAATCTCCACTTGGAGAGACAAGGTTTAAGCAGAAATAGTCAGCATGGCTTTGTCAGTGGAAGACCGCATTTAACACATTTCATTGCATTTTTTGACGAGATGATCATGTGTGTAGACAAAGACAGTGCGGTTGTTGTAGGTTATACGTATTTCGGAAAAGCCTTTCACAAGGTATCACATGTCAGACTATAAAGAAGGTAAAAGGACACAGGATCCAGGATAATTTGGCAAAATGTATCCAAAATTGGCTTATCGGTAGATAGATGGTGGTAGAAGATTGTTTATGTCACTGGAGGCCAGTGTCCTGTAGTGTGAAACAAAATCAGTATTGAGTCCCATTTTGTTTATATGAACAATGTGGATGAGAAGGTGGGGGGAAGAGTGATGATAAATAAGTTGGCAAGTGACGTGAAGATTGATTAATACTTGGGAAGGACGTCTGAACAGAAGACTTATTCGCTTTGAACGGAAGGTCAGTGAAATGATGTCACCAATCCAACAGCTTTGGGATGCATCTGTACCCACAGTCACTGCCGCAGATGTTAGATCAGCCTTATTGAGAGTGAACCCATGGAAAGTGTCTGGCCCAGATGTTGTCACCAGCCATGCACTCAGATCCTGTCTGGACCAGCTGTTGGGAGTATTCACAAACATCTTTAACCTGTCCTCACTATGAGCTGAAGCTCCCACCTGCTTCAAGAAGACCATCATCATCCCAGTGCCAAAGAAAAGTCATGCAGTGTGCCTCAATGATCACCACCTGGTGGCTCTGTCCTCCATAATTATGAAGTACTTTGAGAGGTTAGTGATGGCTCACATCAACTCCAGCCTACCAATTGCCTCGATCCTTTGCAATTTGCTTCCTGGCGCAACAAGACTACAGCAGATGCTATTTCCTTGGTCCTACACTCATCCCTCGAACACTTGAATAACAAGGATACATACATCAGGCTCCTACTTGATGACTACAGCTCTATTTTCAACACCAAATTTATCTCTAAACTCTGAGGCCTAGGTCTCAGCTCCCTGCTCTGTAACTGAATCCCTGACATCCTGACCCATAGACTGCAATCAGTAAGACTAGGCGACAACACCTCCTCCACCATAATTCTTAAAACTGGTGCCCTGCAAGGCTGCATATTCAGCTCACTATAAACTTCTTGTACACTCAACTGTGTGGCTAAATTCCATCTGACTCCATCTATAAGTCTGTTCATGACAGCACCATTATAGGTCGGATCTCAAACAACAATGAGACAGAATACAGGGAAGAGATTGAGTACTTAGCGGCATTGTATAAAGGCAGTAATCTCTCCAGCATTGTCAGCAAAATAAGGGAGCTGGTCCTTGACTTCAGTAAGCTCCTGTCTGTGTCAATGGTGCTGAGGTGGAGACAGTCGAGTGCATCAAATTACTGGGAGTGATGATCACAAACTATCCACCCTGGTCCACCCACATCAGTGCAATGGTCAAGAAATCACATTAACATCTCTATTTCCTCAGAAGATTAAGGAAATTTGGCATGTTCTCAAAGACTCTTAGCAATTTTTATAAATGTATCATAGAAAGCATCCTATCTGGATGCACTATGGTATGACAACTACTGTTCCCGAGACTGCAAGAAACTGTGGAAGGTTGTGAACACAACCTACTACATCATGAAAACCAGCCTGTCATCCGCTGACTCCATCTATACTTCCCATTGCCTCGGGAAGGCACCAACATAATCAAAAGACCTCTCACTCCAGTTATACTGTCTTCCACCCTCTTCTGTCAGGTGGAAGGTATAAAAAGTTTGAATACGCTAACAAAAAGATTTAAGAATAACTTCCCCACTGCTATCGGACTTTAGAACAGACCTCCCAAATATTAGTTCTGATCTCTGTCGCTATACCTTGTCTGTAGCTCTAAACTCTGTATTTTGCACTCTGTTCTGTTACCCTGGTGTAGTTTGTATGGTACAAACTGCACATATAGCACACAAAACAACACTTTTCACTGTATCTTGGTACATGTGGCAACAATAAATTAAACTCAAACTTATATGATCGGATGTTGGGTTGGTCAGATGGGCAGATCAGTGGGAGATGGAATCTACCCCTGAAATGTATGAAGTGATGCACTTTGGAAGAAGTAACAAGACAAGGGAGTATTCAATGAATGGCAGAACACTAAGAAGCTCAGAGAAACGTAGAGATCTTGGATGCTTGTCCACAGATTCCTGAAGGCAGCAGATCAGGTTAATAGCATGGCTAAGAAGACCAACAGGACACTTGCCTTTGTCAGTTGCAGCATAGATTATGTGAGCATGGAGGTTATGTTGAACTCTTTGGAGTTTTGGTTACACTATAGCTGGAGTACTGTGTGCAGTTCTGGTCACTGCAGTATAGGAAAGAAGTGATTGCACTGGATGGGATGCAAATGAGATTCACCAGGATGCTACCTGGGATGGAGCAATTTAACTATGAAGAGAGGCTAGACAAGCTCAGGTTGTTTTCTTTTGAGCAGAGATGGCTGAAAGTGGACCTGATTTTGGTGTGTAAACTTATGAGGGGCATGGCAAGTGTGCTGAGGAAGCATAGAGTCATAGCATGGAAACAGACCCTTCGGTCAAACTTGTCCATGCTGACCAAGTTTGCCAAATTAAACTAACTCCATTTGTCTGCATTTGGCCCATATCCCTCTAAACGTATCCAATTCATGTACCTGTCAAAATGTTTCTTTAAATGTTGTAACTGTACCTGCATCTACCACTTCCTCTGACAGCTCATTCCACGTACAAACCACCCTCTGTGTGAAGAAATTGTCCTTCAGGTCCCTTTTAAATCGGTCTCCTCTCACCTTAAAATTATGCCTTGTAGTTTTGAACTCCCCTACCCTAATGAAAAGGTCTATTCACTTTATCTATGTCCCTCAAAATTTTATAAACCTCTATAAGGTCACCCCTCAGCCTCCTATGCTCCAGGGAAAATAGTCCCAATCCGTCCAGCCTCTCCTTATACCTCAAACCTTCCAGTCCCAGTAGCATTCTTGTGAATAAAAACTGAAAGAACTGTGGATGCTGTAAATCAGGAACAAAAACAGAAGTTGCTGGAAAGGCTCAGCAGGTCTAGCAGCATCTGTGAAGAAAAAGTTAGAGTTAATGTTTCAGGTCTGGTGACCCTTCCTCAGAACATCCTTGTGAACATTTTCTGCACCCTTTCCAATTTAACAATACCCTTCCTGTTGCAGCTATTCACCTTCATTGAAGGGTCAATAGCAGGAGGGCAACATTTTGAAGGTGAAGATCAGGAGACATGGAGGGAATCAGAGGAAAATAACTTTTCACCCAGACGTTGGTTGGAATCTGGAATGCACTGCCTAGGAGAGTAGTTGAGGTAGCAATCCTCACACCTTTAAGAAGTACATGGATGAGCACTTGAATGTCATAGCATTCCAGGGTATGGACCAAGTGCTGAGAAATGTGATTAGTGTAGATAAGTTGGCATAGACTTGATAGTTGTTCTGCCTTGTCTATGCTGTATGATGTTATGACTATGGTATGTTGGACTCCACTACAAGAGAATTTTACTTCAGAAATAGTGATGTCTTACTGGAGATATACCAGGCCTTGGTCAGACTGTACCTGGCATACTGTGTGCACTTTTAATCCAAAGGCAAGAGGGGATATTTTTACCATAGAGTGAGTGAAGAAGAGGTTCACTAGGCTGGTACTGGGCTTGGCAGGAATGCCCTATGAAGAGAGATTGGCTCAACTGGGCTCTATAATTAAAAGAAAAGGTACAAGAGGGGATCTGATTGAAGTGTATAAAATTCTAACAGGGCTGGAATAGATGCAGGAAGGATGTTTTCCCTGGTTGGAGAACCAGAGGACACGGTCTCAGGACACAAAGTAGACCATTTAAGACCTAGATAAGGAGACATTTTTCCACTCAGTGTGGTCTATCTGTGGAATTTGTTCCCACAGAAGCTGTGAAGCCTAGGTCACTGAGTATAATCAGAATAGTAGAATAGCCTTTACTGTCATGTGCACTCGAATGAGTGTAGTGAAAAGTTTGTAATATCACTTCTCAGTGCCATCCTAGGTACAGGGTAATGAGGTACAGATACTTTAAGTGCTGTTACAGAATTGAAATAGTAGAGGCAAAAGAGACTGTCATGGGAATACAGAGTTTAAAAAGTCCAGAATGAGAATAAAAAGTATCTTTAAGTACTCAAGTTATAGTCCCTTTTCATGGAGTCCGTGCCTGCCGGGCTGCAGAACAAAAGGTTACGCTGCCTCCGCGCTTTGAACTCTGTCCCGTGACTCGTATCCCAGGACTCAACTGCTGGCCAGCCTGTGCTCGCTCTGCTCCTGCTCCAGCCACAACTCGCTTCCGGGACTCGGTCCGCCCTCAGTCTGCTCCCCGCTTCGGTCTCCATCCGTGCCTCACCTCCCCTGCTGGGCTGGTCTTGGATTTTGTTCTCCATTCCCTCTGGGTAAGGTACTTTAAAGAAGTAAAAAGCTAGTGGTGGGTGGAGGAAAGAAAAACTTCAGCAAGAGGCAAAAAGAAAGCATATAGAAAAGTTGCTGGTGAGCAGAAGGGCTCCGGCTGGAGCGTCTTTCTCTGCCGCCATCTTAACCAGAAGGTATTTAAGAAAGCTGTTGATAATTTTTGTAGATTTTAAAGCATGAAGGAGTATGGAGAGCAAGTGGGTATATCTGTTGAGACAGACCAGCCACGATCATATTGAAATAAGCTCGAAGTGCCAAGTGACCTATTCTGCACCTAGTTTCTACATTTCTATGACCCAAAAACATCACTGACGTTTAAAGTTTAAGAGAAGATTTGTACCTCAGGTTGTGGATGAGGCTGTAGACTTGCTCACCAAGCCGGTGGGTTTGGTTGCAAACGTTGTGTCACCCTGCTAGGTAACATCGTTAGTGTGCCTCTGGTGAAGCGTCAGTGTTCTGTCCCGCTTGTTATTTATATGCCTCGGTTTACTCCGGTGGTTGGCATTACTTCCGGTCCTGTTTCTCAGTGGTTTGTACACAGGGTCTAATTCAATGTGTTTGTTGATGGAGTTCTGGTTGGAATACCAAGCCTCCAGGAATTCCTTGGTGTGTGTCTCTGTTTGGCTTGTGTGACTATTGATGTATTGTCCCAGTCGAATCAGTGTCCCTCATTGTCTGTGTGTAGTGACACCCTATGACAGTTATTGATGAATGCAAAGGATCCCATATCCAAAACCGGTGAAACTGGGGCAATCTACAAAATACCATGCAAGTACTGTGAGAAACACTACATAGGCCCAACCAGAAGAAAATTGACTACACTGATACATGAACATCAACTAGCCACCAAAAGACATGACCAATTCTCACTTGTCTCACTACACACGGGCAATGAGGGACACGAATTTGACTGGGACAATACACAAGCCAAACAGAGACATGCCAGGGAATTCCTGGAGGCCTGGTATTCCAAGTGTAACTCCATCAACAAACACATTGTATACAGTGTCTAATTCAATGTGTTACCTAGCAGGGTGACAAAACGTTTGCAAACAAACCCACCGGCTCAGCAAGCATGTCTACAATGTTATCACTAATATTCCTCTCAGGACAAGGTGACACACAGTAGAAGGAAGCAGAGCAGATCATTGGGAGACAAGGATGACTGCATGTCCTTGAGCCCCGTACAGAAACTAATTCAACATAGTAATTGGGCTTGTAGAATCCAGCATCACTGGTGACACTGAGGATAATGGTGTAGTCCGGCCTTAAGTCCCTTCTCAAACCGCAGTACATTCCTTATCCTGCTATCTGCCATAACGAGAAAGCTACAGTGACAATGGACCTCCTGCATCCACCCTATTCTCCCTACTTGTTCCTTGTGATTTTTTACCTTCAGACAATAGAAGACTGTTAGCTATCCAGCTGCACCAGCATCAGGAGAAAGATCAAGCAGCCACCAACTCAGAAATAGGCACAACATGGATTTTAAAGATTATTTTAGAGATGGGATAAACATGTGGTGAGTCACTGAGCATGCTATAACTAGACCGAGATATAATGGAAGGTGAAGTCATGACTGTATTCTGTAATCCGAGCCAGAGGAGGATTTTGATGGGATGATATACAAGTGAACATCAATGGTTATCCATATTGAAATGTTGCTTGCATTGACTAATCTGTCAGATAGTCCTTTGTCACTAAGTGCCACATTAGTCTCCAAGTTGGCATAGGGCATCACACAAACCTTGACTTCTCCACAATATATGTTCCAGATTTCTGTTACATTATAGGTCCAACAGTGCCACAACTGCAGCTCCTAAACTTTTTATAACTCTTGAACGAACACCTATGTAACACACTGTCAACAATCCTCTAGAGTACTTGCAGTCATTTTTCAAGAACTGAAGTTCTTCAAAATCACATTATTTGCAATTTGGGTTCCTGACCCTGTGAATACTGTTAATGCTAGGTTCCTGTTTCTGGGATTTGAACAGGATAAGTAGATCTTATATAATACTAGTATGCAGAAAATTTGTTAGTTTTTAGTCCTATTATTTTCTCTAGTATTTTTCGCTACTCTAGGTTCCTCGCCCTCAATACAGCCTTGGTTCCCCAGATATCTGATGTGATTTTGTACCCTCTAAAATAAACATAGACACGAAACAAATTGTTAAATATCCCATTACTCATTATAGTTTCTTCTCTTTCAGTCTGTTAGGGACCACAGCTTACTTTACTTAACGTGAATCCTAATCCTAATTCGAATACTTTCCCTTTGTACATACTTGTGAACCTCTTAGGATCGGCTTTCATATTTACTTTACTCTCCCGATCAATGCTTAATCATCTTTCACTATTTTCTAAAGCTATCCCAATCCTCAGGTTAACTATTATTCTGTAAACTCCTGTAAAACTTAACTGATTTACATAGTTACAGATCAACAACTTTCCCCACAGACATTTTGTTTCTTAAATGGTATATTTATTCATTAAGAATTATGAAATATTTCTTAAAAAGTCCACAATTAGTATCTGTAGTCTGATTTCATTCATTATTGAGTTTAACTAATTAACCCTTCATACCTATGCAATTGGCTTTATTTAAGATTCAGACTTCAGAACGTCATTCTCAAAGGCAACATTAAATTTTACCATATCAGGCAGCACTTGTGGAGAGAGAACCAGGTTTCAGATCTGTGGTCGGTCATCACAAATAAGCAAAGTTTGAAATGTGGAATAGTATAATTGTGGTATGGCATGCTAACATGTCATTTTGCCAATAGATGCTTGGCCATATGCATTAAAATAGTGACAGATTAATTAAATTAAATTAAATCAATTCAATTCATCGATTTCCATACTAATTAGTATCTTTTAAAACCTGAAATAATATTTGTGTGTAAACATTCAAAGCACTTACAGAATCATTCTGGACACTATGTGCAGTTTAGCATGGCCATTCCACCTAACCCGCATATCTTTGGACTATGGAAGGAAACTGGAGGAAACCCATGCAGAAACAGGGAGAACGTGCAAAGTCCACACAGACAGTTGCCCAAGGATGGAATTGAACCAGGGTCCCGGTTGTGCAGCAGGATTTTAAAAAGGAGCTTTTATCTTTTATTTAAATCTCTATTAAACTATGAGATGATATGCACCTGTCATGTCTTTGTCTGTCAATCTCACATGCAAGAATTTCGAAGATACGGCTTTAACTTTTATATTTGGATTTGAATTTGATTTGAGAGTCTATTTTGCATTCTCAACCTAAATTTTAAAACAAATAATAGAGATAATTTTTCCTGTGCCAAATGTTAATGTTCCTTACACAGGGATTAATCAGTATATATTCCATTAACACTCACCAAATAATATAACTATTTCTGATGAGCAGAACCCTCACTTTCTAACAATGATAAATGAAGATATGAGATGGAATTTATTGTGCTTTGCCCCAGCAAGCCTAGAGGCAGGGCAGGGTGAGGGCGGTAAGAATCAGGATGGGGTGTCTGCCCAATGTTGTGATGTTGACAAAATCATCCAATACCTGTGTGCACCTCAGGACCACTTGTCTGTGCTTACTATGAGAGTAGCTCTTTATGAGCTACTCCTCATTTCTGTGCATTTCCCACCCCACCACCCCCCCAACCTCACTGGATTCATAGCCCCATTTACATGTTTGTCCTCCTTGTCTTCAGAAGTGAAGAGCTTCCTGGGAGCTCTGCTCTGCCCCTCTTGGATCACTTCCCACCCCAGGTGCTTCAATACCCACAGAATTTCTTCCATGTCTCCTTCACACATTCAGTGGTTCCTCAAAACCTCAGCAGCTCCCTCAGTCATTCTGCTTGAATTCTATGATGCTAAAACGGCCTAGCTCCATGCCTGCACTGGACTAACATTTCTTTCTCATGGTCTACACACATGAGAACAATCACTGACAGCCCTTTAAGTTATTGCCAATTGCCCACAGAACTGAACAATTATTATAGTGGATTTTTAGCTTCTAGATCCCAATGCTTGTTGCAAAATCGACTGGAGGCAGAAACATTACACCATAGATATTTATGATTTTGAGCTCTAGCTCATCTTTAGTCTCCATCAGTGATCAGAAACCCAGCCTGTTTTCTCTGGAGTATTGGAACTAGTCCATGGACTTAAGCATACTGTAAGTATGGTGCTAGCTCTTAGCGATAAGTGGGAATCTTTCTCCTTTTCTCGGGAACAGAGACCTATTCTGGTGCCTTCACCATTATCCTGAACAAATTCACCTAATTTAATGAAAGGTAACAATTGAACCTCATCCAGAGATATTAAGAACTGCCGATGCTGGAGTCAGGGATAACATAGTGTGGAGCTGGAGGAACACAGTGGGCCAGGCAGCATCAGAGGAGTAGGAAAGATGACCATTTTTGATGAAGGGTCCCAATCTGAAACGTCATCTTTCCTACTCCTCTGATGCTGCCTGGCCTGCTGCGTTCCTTCAGCTCCACACTGTGTTATAATTGAACCTCAATGTGCGTGATGCAGTGGATGTCTGAGAAACTAAAGTTTTTTCCTTGCCATTCCAAATATTTTTTTTAAATTCACTATCAATTCAAGGGGAAGGAAAGAGATGGAAGGGATCGGTAATGTAAACAGAATTGCTGGACCCAATGTTGATGAGACTAAAATTTAACAGATTGAAAAGAGAATAATATAGCTATACTTCAGCCAACATGTAATAAACGAGTATGAACAAGCACTGAAAGTACACTTTTGATGCTATTTAAGCATTGATCATTTGTTTTTCACGTGCATCTACAGACATTTCCACTATATTCATCAGACACATTTAAAACTGGAGTGCTGTTACTCCAGCAGAAGAAAACATGTTTATTGGTGCTTAATTTGCATGATAGTAGCATTCTGCATTGGTTGCAATCAGGAAGGCCGTTAAGAAAAACCGAATAGAGCAACAACACAGTTAACATTGCCATAGAAGCTGTTGTGGTTAATTTCAATTATTGGTTACCACTAACTAGCAAAGTTTGGCTTTAAGGAAACAAATATGTTGGAGAAGTTCAACTCTCTAGTTGTTGAGCTGGTGCTATGAAACAGATAAAGCTTCTGAGCTGGATCAAAAATGGAATCATACTTCATCTATCGTACCAGGCTACTAAAGCAATCGAAGAATCACTTCAGTTGTAAAAAATCACTAAGGTGTTGCTCAAATATAAGTATGTATCTTAACCTTTGCAAAGTTTAACTAACCTTACTCTTGAGAAAGGAGGTCTGACGTATGAGGAGCAGTTGAATTAGTTAGGATTATACTTGCTGGAGTTCAGAAGAACTTGGGGTTCGGGTGGGGCAGGGGAAGGGGGGAGTCCTCAGAGAAACCTATAAGATTCTAAAAGGACCAGGCAGGGTAGATGCAAGAAGGGATGTTCCTGATGACAATGAAGTCCAGAATCAAGGTTTATAATCTAAGGATACAACGTAAACTATTTGGGGCTAAAGAGTTCAATGGATATTGGGGGAAAAGGAGGAACAGTTGGATGATTAGCCACAATAATAATGAATGGCAGAGAAGGATCAAAGAGCCAAATGGCCCAGTCATTCTCCTTTTTTTTTAATGTTTCTATGGGTTCAAGTCCCACCTGCTCCAAAAGTGTGTCATACATCTCTGAAAAGATAAAAATATCTATAATGTAGAATTTAATAATGTTACTAGAGTCACTGTGGAATTCCTGAGCAATATATTCAGATAAACAATATACAGCATCATAGTGTTCATTATAGTCTCAAGGATACTTGACTCAAAGAATTTCTCTTCATCACCTGTTAAAATGAATAATGAAGTGTAGTTTTCCCTGGATACAGTGATTTTCATTTTGTAGCTCTGATATGAGAAATACTTCTTTAAGATACAAAAATGACAAGCATTTGCCCCAGCTCCCATATTTCAATATTTTGGAATGAAACCATTTCAAAACAGATGCATTGAAATGTACTTAATATGGTATAATTCAACAGTTATTGATTGCCCTGTCGGTGACTGGAGAAATAAGCAAAGAAAATAATAAAATGTGATACAAGGCAGAGAAATAATGCCACAGGCTAAAACATAGTAATGAAGAAAGAAGTTAAAATTTAATGTGCTAAAGCAAGAGCAGGCAAATCAAAAAAAAAATTGATTAACATTGGAACAGCATAGATGATTTGTTTACTTTTGTTATTTTTTTTAAAAAACAAAATATTACAAAAGACAAAGTTAGTGTAGTATACAACCAGCAAAAAGAGAATTCCCATAAGGACATACTAAATGTAAGTAATCAGCACCAACAGAATAGAAATCATTCATTAGACATAGGTGTGGTCATAGCAACTTTACACTAGCCACATGCACTGACTTCAGTATGTGTCAGACATATTGCAGGCAGTTACAATAAATATGCTTTAACTGAATATTTACTTGGACAACATTCAGTGAAAACTTGACATTTTAAGGTATTTTGCAATTTTAGCACAAATTCACCAAAT